GCGACTTTCAACAGAGCGGTGACAAATATTATTCGTTTTTGAGAGAGTTTGCACCGGTTACTCAGACAATATATTCCTTATAGTAAGAAAACGGGTTAGAAATCTGACGCCGATGTTTATCTTGATCATCTTCGTCAAGTCTTTCAGTTTATGTGAAAGAACAAACTCATCGCTCACCTGAAAAGTGCGTTTCCTTTGTGCCTGAGATTCCCTTTCTTGGCCCTTTGTGGGTAAGAATCGCGTTCGTGTAAAGCCAGAGAAGGTCGAAGCAATCAAAAATTGGTATGTGTTCAAATATGAGACATTGAAGACAACGGCAGGGCTCGGCCAAGTATTTTCACAAATGCACGCGCATTTATGCGGCGTTCGTACAGCCCTCCGCGACTCATAAAAAAAGAACGTTATGTGGGATGATCACAAGACTTCATATACCCACCGCGACAACTTCTGCCCAAGGGACGGTTCTATCCAGTTCATACCAAAGATCATCTAGCAAAGAAGTATGCTTTAGTCAAGTTTTCGTGTGTTTTTGCGTTGATAGAGCTGTTTGCGACCTATACAGATCAAGTCTTATTGTGTGCGGCAGTAGAGACTCCATATTTATCGCAGAGAATTGCTCGATGTATTCTTTCTCTGCGAAGTACAATAAAAAAAACAAGACGAACATTGTAACCGATGCGTCGTCAAGACGCGTAGACTATGCTTTAGAATCTAGAAGCGAAAGCATGCACGAGTCATGGCGACAGAACGAAGATGTTTAGACAATGCGTGTGCAAGTTACGACTACACGCGCGGAGAAATTGTCAAAGGACACAAGTATGTTTGAACTTGTTGAGGTACTTGTAGGACCCTTCCGACAACGCAATGCAATGTCTTTCGTCTCACTTAAAATCACGTGCTCATCGTACTTACGTACTTGATGGATTGCTGTTCTATGCGGTTTAACATGGGGATATCGCAAGGTTGTTGCTCGTAATGACAAAGATTTGCGTCATCGCCTATTATGTGAGTAACTTGACAGCCGGGAGGCCATCTCGGATGCGAGAGGACACTTTTCAGTTTTTCCTGGGAAACTACTGGCTATACTTGTTCAAGCGGGTGCGCAATTATGTGAGGACTTGCGAGATCGCAAGAGAGCTTAATGATTAGGTCCGTTGAGGCCCCACTTTGGTCATTGGCAATGCCTGTTGACAGGTGGGAGCCTGTGAGTATGGAAATCATTCAAAACTTCCGCGTGACACACATAGACGCAATGGCATCCTTATGTTAGTGGGCTGATCCAGCAAAATGGTACATCTTGCGCCTTTATCGAATAGGATATCTATTGAGATAACAGCTAAGGTCGTTGTAGACGTGGCTTTTCGTCTGCATGGCGTATCTGTAGAGATTGTGTGTACTGTCTTACGTCAAAGTTTGGGCGTGCACTGTTTGGACTATTAGACAATGAACTGCCTAGTCAACAGCGGCACACTTTAAAAAGGACGGCAAAAAAAGAGCGTGTAAATCAAATTCAGGAGGACGTGCTGCGTAGTTAGGCTACGTCGTTCAAAGAGCGAAGTGCGTTTCTCTTTCTATCAGAGTTTGCGCCGAACAACTCCATCCATGTCTCGACAGAATACTCACATTTTATGTGAGCTATACTATTCATCGAGAGTACCTGTCTTCATAATCGGCGAGATTTCTATTAAAAGGAAGAGGGGCTATGATTATGTAGCCACAATGAGACCCAAATACTATATCAGAATTCAAAGCAAATTTTGACTCAATGAGACATCTTCACGACATGACAAGTCGTGAAAAACAGCACGTTGGTCACTTTATCGTGAAGAGATAGCCGATTCAAAGGTTTGATCAAGACGCGATTACAAAAGCCAAGATCTGCAAAAAGAACAAGCAGATAAAAGAGAAAAGATAATCAACGAAAGTGTATAAGGTCAATGATCTTGTGCTATTTAGCACGACAAATCTACACGAGCATGCAGTGTCCAACTGGGGAAGCAGAAAGCTTTTATTAAGCTTCATTGGACCGTATAAGGTATTGAAATGCAATGGCGATACTTATATCCTAGCTATCCTTACATGCATGCGCCTACATCAAACATTTTACGCGGATAGGCTAGAGTCGTATCTCCCAAGTGAGTTCGTCGATCTTACCATACCTTTGGTAGAGGTCGAGCTGATTATGAAGTTTCTCCACGTGTACGCAAAGAGCAGCCAAACCTTCACTTTGGGGATGATTTTCGGCATACAAGCGCTGAAGTACATCAAAGTATTGCTTCTTTACTACTTTAGCGCTTGCAGACAAATATGGAGCTTACCACGGAATGCCTCGAGAACAGAGCCTGCCTCTTGAGCCGAGAGCATCAGGTGTTCGTGGGCCAGCTCACGAGACTTCTCGTTTATCCAATGTCTAATAAATTCATCATGCACAGATTGAAACCGCAGTATAAAAGGGTCATTAAAGCCGAGCATCGGGTGGAATCATCAGTTAGAACCTTTAAACTCGATATTCTTCATTGAATAGTTTCGAAAGGTAATCGCAGCAATCTTCAAGCGTCGAGTAACGCTGCTGTAATGCCTCGATCTGCCCGCAATGAGTGCTCGTTAAATTCCAAAGCGCTCTTTCATTTACGCGTTCAGCCTACCTCCGCTATAAGACTCTCGTGGGGAGCGTTTTTAGGTGATTGAGATGACTGTAGATTAAATCGTCATCGTGGAATAAAGCAGTTGTATCATCAACGCTATTACAGAATTTGGTGGCGCAGCTTTCCGTCGGTGGAATTTTGTTCCAGGTGATGAATTAATGTGGTTTGTAGCTGCGATGATTGCTTGTAGCTGCTAGAGTCAATTTAACGACCATCAGAGCTGGATTTTGCTCGGTCTTTATTGAACGTCCTACCAGCGACGACTCGGCAAAGCAGACGCCTCATCTTGTTATCGCTCTCAAGGCAAACAAAAGTCCGCAAACTTCAAGCTCCATTTACTTAAGATGCTGTATAAGCTCAAGATGAGGTGCAACCACAGTATACCTCTGAATGTACAAATCAGATTTATTGGAGTCCAAGAATTAATAAAATGAATCGCTAGAACTTCTAAGAATATTTGCATGTATCTCATTTCATTTCGGCTGCCAGTTTGCCTTCAAAGCAGCGAGTCCGAGTCGAAATTGTCCTTCATTCACCACATCGGGAATCGCTTTATTGACACAAGCGTGTATGATGTGTCTGAGGGATTGTTGTGATCAGTGCCCTCTTACAACCCTGCACCTGTTAAGACTCGATATTTCCCTGCAAGGAATGGTAAGACATCCCTGCATGAGAATCCGGCCTTTTGTAGATATTTGTCAATGGTGAAGGAGTACACATGACGCAGATGCTTCGTACTGGCAAAGATGCGATATCGCTGACTACCGCGGAGCTGATCAGCTACTAAGTAGCCCTAAATCATGCCCGAGATCCGTAGCCTCTGGTGTCCGCACAGAGCTTCTACATTTAGTACCCCATCTGACCCTCCAGACACGTAAGTACACTCACAGCTCCCACGAAAAGGTGGATGGACGGAATCGGTCTCGGAGCTAGAAGCCCCCCCCCTTCGAGGAGCGCTCCATGAAGATGATAATTTTTGTCCGCTTTGGGGAAGGATTTGATGCGTTTGTGCCAATTAAAGATCTTGGTGAAGGTCTTGATGCCATTGTGACGATATAAGTTCTAAGTCTCCGGATAGAAGCCGCTCCATACTGCTTCTACCCCATAAATCGCCAGTGTCCGTATTCCGTCGGGACAAACTATACACAGGAACTTACTAAGCGTGCCCGATGATCTAGGTATAGGTAATCGAGCAACGCGTGTTCCATCTTCACAACGAATACAGTCTAAGATACTTCGTTGCGACTTTACCGTTTACTTTGCATCGAGAAAGCTCTGACCAAAACGAATCCGCTTCAATTACCGCATAGCGAATGGGTTAATACGCTTATCCCATCAGCGAACCCGAGAGCCTCTCAAACTAATAAGCATTTGGTTGACTTTTCCCATTTAACATGGAATCAAATCTATTCAAACATACACTAGATGTGTAAGTGTTAGTTATAATGTTCAATACTTTCATTGCTTGACGTGTCCAATCACGTTATCCCATTGGCCTTAATAAACGTACCCTTACTTAAGCAACCTTTGAGGTCTGCACAATTACACGAATTTTAATGTGTACATTGTTCAATTGCACATAGAGTTTATTTTGCACGACTGTACAGTATACCCCCGTTACAACAACAATATATTTGGTGCTGCATCAATGATATTTCTTGAAATAAAATAGTCTCTTTTGATATTTTATTACCTATTTCTCAGGCCGATTGCGATGCCAACTCCTGGCACTACCATATAGTGAGATTAATCTCCTCATTTATAACATAAAGCCACGTGCTAATTCGTTTTTTTGATCGGTGTGATATCTGACATTAGCTCAAACAACTTCTGACTGACAGTGAGACTCAAGTCGAATCTCCAGTGCTCCAAATTCACGTCTACCCTGACCTTCATTGTGTCTACAATGAATTTGAATTTCTGAGGTAATGAGGTCGCTGTAATAAACTCAAAGTCGAAGCTCAGGTCTATCACTAAAACCTAAAGTCTTTTTTTCTGATGTGTAGATAAATACTTTATGCATTTTAGCAATGAGTAGCTGATTCTACTTACAAACGTAATGACAGACTTATTTGTACTTAACAACAATATCGATTGTTCTTAAGAATATTGGTATATGAAGGTACGTGTAAATGTAATAAATTGTGATTGCGGCAATATATTGGCTTGAGACATGTAATCACATCGTTTGAAGTTTGCCACGTAGGACAATTCTGACAATATGGCACACAATTGGTCGTTTTGGTCAAATCGCACTCTGATAGTGCATAGTCATGGCAGAAGAGAGGTAGACCTGATGCAATAGAGCGACGCGTCCGACAGTATCGATCTTAAGTCGCTAAGCCCAAGTAGAGCATGGCGACCTCAATTTCAAAGGATGTGATTATCGAGCAGGACAAAGAACATTTGAATGATAACGAATCACTACTGGAAACTCATAAGTCGTGCGACGTGGAGCTTGGGGACGACACGACAGTAAATGAAACCATGACGATTGCAGAGCAGAGTGTCAAAGTGCAAGATAGTTTAGTGGAGGATTTTAGTCACGTAAATAATGTAGTCGTGACGGAAGAAGATGCGGCGGAGATTGTTGAAGCGATTGCTAAGTCTATTGCTGTGACACAGAATCGGGAGATGGATTATTCCGTGGCTGCGACTGTCGGAAGTTCAATTGATGGGGATAGTTTAAAACCTGAAGATTTTGCAGGACATGAGACGTTTGAAGAGGAAAGCAGTAAGAAGGCAGAGGTCGATTTTGATGAACTTGCAGCTGCTGACGATAAATTGAGGAATCAATCGATGGAGACTGCAGAAGAGTTCATGAACTCTGTTACTACTACAAAAAGAAGTTTGATTGACAACATGAGTACTGGTAGTCCTGACGAAATGGAAGGAATCGTTGAGCCAACAAAAGCTGAAGAGGAAAAGAGAACAAAAATACTAAAGACATTTTCAGGTGAAGAATGTCAACAATTTGTGACTGACAGCTTGTCTCGAAGAGCCGAAAACGCCAATTCTCTTGTTCATAAAACAAATGATGCAGCTCCAGATACGGAGGGTAGTGAGCCCGAGTCCGAGAAGACGCCGCCTTCTTCCAAACCTCATTGTCCCGATTCTGCCGCGAAGGTAGCTCTTACGATGCCTTCTTCAGTCCAAACTAACGTTGATGATGTGGAAAATCATCGAGATGAGTCATTAGAACCTTATCAAACGCCGTTGGCAACGAATTTGGCTCTCGATGGTACATCGCCAGTAAAGCAAGTAATACATCGACTTGAAGTCCACGAAGGAGATAATTCACTCGATAGTCTTCAAATCCGTACAAAGCGCGACTATTTTACCGAAAAACAGCGAAGTATCTCTGTGAGTGCCGAGCGGGAGAAATTCCAGGCACAGCTAGCACGACAGACCAAGGAAGCCGCAGAAGCTCACGATCGACAGAAATCTCCCGCGAAGAACCCTATCAAGCGAAATTCGGCAATGTCCAGTGTCCGAAATATGGCAAGTCGATTTGAAAAAAAAGCAGAACAATCTCTCGATAATTTGTCGTTTCGAACCGTGCGCAGTTTCTTTCCAAAGGAAAAGAGCATTCACGTGGATACTGAAAAGCAGAAGTTCGAGGCACTTGAAAAGAGACAAGCTGCGAACGAGGAGCAAATGTTAAATGAAATTGGGGGGGCTGATTCGGATGATTTCGGTGAGTCTGGAGTCAAGGACTCTATATCCGAAGCAACAGGTCGTCGGTATACCGTAGGCGAAGACAATTCGAAGGTCCGCGGAATTGCCAGTCGATTCGAAAGCAAGCGTGCGTATTCAGTCGTGTCGGCTCCCGTGCGAACGATCGACTCTTTTATTGTGGCTGACAGTGAAGCAAGCGTCCGTGTGTCAGCCGAAAAGGCGAAGTACGAGAACAAGAAAACGACATCAACGCCAGTAAAGCGCACGATTGATTCATTTATTGTTGCTGATAGCGAAGCCAGCGTCCGCGTTTTGGCGGAGAAAGCAATGTTTGAGAGTCAACAGAAGTTTTCAACGCCTGTAAAGCGGACAATCGACTCGTTCATTGTCCCTGAAAGTGAGGCAAGTATACGTGTGAGTGCCGAAAAGGCAAAGTTTGAGACTCCGAAAAAGGAAGTCAAGACGACCAAGCGCACGATCGATACATTTATTATTCCAGAGTCAGAAGCAAGTGTGCGAGTGTCGACAGAAAAGGAACGATTTGAGAATCAAGCAGCAATGTACGCCCCCACTAAGCGGACAATTGATACATTTATCGTTGCAGAGAGCGAAGCAAGTGTTCGAGTGTCTGCAGAAAAGGAAAGGTTTGAGTCATTGGAAAAACAGAGCAGTGGTCCTGTTGTGAGGACAATTGATACTTTT